GAAGAACGCCAAGGATAAGGCTGCTGAAGTCATGGAGACTCTTGACGGAAGGTTGGCTAAGGTAGAGCTAACTTTCGGAGATCACCACGACAAGCTCGACGAGGTGGAGCAGCGTATCTGTGAGCTCGAGGGAAGCGAGCTGCGCAAAGGGATACTGGCCTCGATCGATGCCGAAAGGGAGGAGTCCCGAAAGAGGGAGCTAGCGATGATGGAGCTTGCTGAGGCGCTGAGGGCCGAGGTGGTCGTGTTGAAAGAGGTCGTGGCCGAATGCAAGGTCCAGATCGCACGGCTGGAAAAAGCGAAGGTTGTGGAACCTTCAAGAACGGAGCCCTCAAGGGTTCAAGAGGAGTTGGCGATGTTGAGGGCAACGGTAGCCGAACTTCAGGCAAGGAGGCCAACTGAAGCTGCCTTGGCAGCCCCGAGGGGGAACGTCCCGTATCCCGAGAACTACGCGGGGGAGCGCAAGGCTCGAGCAGTGGACGACTTCCTCTATGATATAGAGAAATACCTCAAGGATTCCGGCATCATGGGAGATGAAGCCAAGATCCGAACCGCGTCACGATATTTGAAGGGCTTGGCCCGCACGTGGTGGAGGCGAAATGAAGGAACACACGGTGGTGAGAGAGGCATCACTACCTGGAGACTATTTAAGCGAGAGCTCAAAGAGGAGTTCGCATCAGCAGATGCCGAGGAGGAGGCGTGGTGCAGGATTCGTCGATTGGAGCATCGAGAAGGCCACCTAAAGGACTACATCGAGAAATTTTCGGACCTGTTGCTGGAGGTACCGAACATGTCTCCAAAGGAAGCATTGTTGACATTCTTGGAGGGCCTGAGGCCGTGGGCTAAGTTGAGGATTAGGGAGAAACTTCCTTCAACGGTCAACGAAGCAATAAAATATGCTCAATGGTTGCTTGAAGTCGAGCAAAAGGAGCCTAGTGAGGATAACTAATCAAGGAGCATTAACCAAGATAGAAGTGAGGGAGACCAAACTTGGCAGACTCCACGGACTAGTGATACCAGGAAGACTCAGCGGCAATCCGCAACTAGGGGTGGGGATGCTTGGAGGCCAAGACCAACATATGATGGGTGTTTTGTCTGCAGGAGTAAGGATCACTATGCTAGGGATTGCCCAAGTCGAGGAGGCATTGTGGCGTCGGACGTGCCGCCGGAGGTGATAGAGGGCCGGGTAGCCTGCACACAAAAGACGGTCCCTGCTAATACCCTTAGGGGAAGGATGCTCGTTAAAGCGTGGATAAATGGAGTATTGGTGACATGCTTGCTCGACCCGGGTGCTGATGACAACTACCTGAGCAAGCAACTAGCCCATATGATCGGACTACGGTGGGTACCTTCTGGAGGACGTTTCAAAGGAATCAATGGTGGGTGGACTCCCATAGCTGGGGTGGCTAGAGACGTGCCCATCCAGCTAGGCGACTGGAAAAGCACGGAACTATTCAATATAGCTCATCTAGACAAGTATGCGGTAATTCTAGGGATGAGGTTCATGGACCATGTCAAGCCCATGATGGTCCCACATGAGGGAAGGTTCACAATAACAGAGGGTGGGGCACTGTGTAACGTGATGGTTTATAGGGAAAAAGAGCTCAACTCGAGGCAAGGGGAGAAGGGTCAAAGAGAAAGGGAGTCAACTCTAGCGACTATTCGGACTGACAAAGGCACCGTAATGGCTGTGAGCGAAATGTCAGAAACCCGCCTAACAACCTAGGACGAGCACTCAAAGGAATCGTCAAATCTAACATGGAGAAGTCCCGACGAGGAGTGAACATGTGGACGGGCAAGAGGAGGATGTTCCGAGAAGGTAAAAGAAAAGATGTGGGGATCATAAAGAACGGAGCTGACAAGGTGGCAGAAGAGATCGTAGCGGACAAAAGGGCCGGACACCCGAGTCGACCACTACAGACGAAATTCCCGACTAGGGGGCATGGATTAGCTAAGCCCAAGGCAAGTTGGAGAGAGACCAGAGACGTATGGCTGTTTGAGGAGTATGCTCGTTACTTACAGGCATTGAGGGCAATGCCTAGTTTGAGTAGGGGAGGATGTCACGGACCAAAGCTTTGGCCGAGCAATGCCGAGGGAGCTGCAAAGGAGCGCCGAGGAGGGGCCTGCGGCATGCGAACACGGAGAGGCTAGCAGAGATCCTTGAAGATGTTCCGGAACCTTCTGGATTACTCTAGAGCATTCTAGAAGCCGAGTCAATATTTATCCACTAGATTTATATCTCTTAGATATCATTATCTGTATCTCTTTAGATATCTATATCCGTAGGTTGATAAGATATAGCAAATCCAAGTGTGGATTTGATAAGATATGGCATATCCATATCTTGCTAAGATTTAGCATATCCATGATAGAGTGCCTATATAAAGGGGATGAGTCCTCACTTGTACTTCACTTCAATTTTGAATCAATAAAACACTCTTCTTTGCCGAGTACATCTTATAGTGTTCTTATTTTTAGCAGGTATTGGAGTCATGTACGAGGCTGCACTAGCGAGTTCTCGAGGGAGTCAAAGAATCGCTAGGCCGACGGGAAGGTGTTCGAGGAGGAACCATCCGACCCGTTACACTAGGAATGTTTGGAGGTTGAAATAAAGGTTAAATATAAGGGATAAAGTAATATTTTATGGTTAAAAGTGAAGTTAAAATTGCATTGACGTTTTTTATAATCGTATTTGAATATACAACAGACCTTTGAATACGATCTTGGCTATAGATCTTTCATTTGGACTTGGATTGACTCACCGTTTGCGACATTCGAAAGCTAACTTAAAAATCTATCCGATGAAATATATTTCATAAAAATCAGATATGAAATATAAAATAAGCAAGCGTTTGAAGTTAACATATTGATAATAACATCTATAAGATATTTAATCAACAAAACATCTAATGGGCAAACTCGACTATCGAGTTGGACGGTGCTAGGCCAACTTCTGTATGCGGATGAGCCGGTATTAGGCCATCTGAAGTTGATTAGAGGTTAAATGGATTGAATAAACTACTCTTGTCAATAATGTTCACATTCTTTTTTGAAAGCCTTACTGAAAAAATTCTAGTGTTAAGCGTGTTTGCCCTAGAGTAATTTGAGGATAAATAACCCTGGAGGACATAAGTGCGTTGGAATGACTCGTACTGATCCGTTGATGGACCTAGCAGTTGACAATCGGTGCAACGTGGAAAAAACTCTAAAGTTAAGCGTGTTTGTTTTAGAGTAATTTAGAGATGGGTGACCTCTGGGAAGTCTCCTAGAGTGCGCGTGAATAAGGATAGAAGTGCGTTGGAAGAAATCGTATTGAACCGTGGGGTCAGTCTTCAATCTCGACACACTCGGTCTTGCGGGCCGGGGTGTCACAGTTTGTTTAATTGTAAAAGTATATATATACTTTTAATTTTATTATACAATTTTTATGAATTTTTCTATATACATGGATATATTTTTCTATTTCTATTTTTTATCCAAAAACATCAAATTATATATTCACTTTTTATTTATGATATTATCTTAAAATTTAATTCTACATTTAAAATATCACATCAATACACAACAACAAACAATTATTTTAATTTAAAATATTATTATTCAAAATTCAAACCTGAAATTAATATCCAACTAACAAGCACAACCGATATTATTTTATTTTATAGAATATCACATTAAAAATATTATTTAATATAAAATAAAAGAAAAATAAAGAAATAAACAAACGTATTAATGTAAGATTTAAAAGTGTGTTAATAAATACAACAAAATTTAATGTTGGCATCTAAAGCAAGAAATTCAAAATATTGGGTAAATTGCATAATATTCTCTTATATTTTGGTAACAATGCGCAAAATATATTATATTATATTATATTTATTTATTTAAAATTAAAGTATGGACAAAATAATCTATTAATTAAAAAAAATACAAGACAAATATGTTAAACAACCTTAGTTGAATAAAAATAATAGTAGAAAATAATTGATTAATATTTTATTTTATTGTTGTTTTTTTTTTTTTTTTTTTTTGAGAAGATTAGATAATAATTTGGTTAATTTATTAATTATACTATTATTCATTTATTTATTTTATTCAAAATAATTTTAAGATATTTTGTATTTGTACAAAATTTGCATAATTAGGTGTGTATTTACAACCAAACAAAAAATATTTTATTTGTATTTTTATCTAACACAATATGAGATTTACACAATAAATAAAATACAATTTTTTTAGTGAAATAGTTTGAAAATACATATTATTTTTATGTGAATTACATATAGAATTTTGAGTAACTAAATTAAAAATAATGGACGTGTATAATATGTTAAATATTTTTAGAGAAATGTATTTTTGAAAAAATATAATTTTCCCATAAAGAACACACCTATTGTGTTTTAGTGTGTTTTATGTATTAAAATAAAATGAAATATTATACTCTTTCCATCATGCAAATGTGTGCTTATTTTACGAAGCACGAGTTTTAATAAAGGTGAGTAATAATTATTAATTTTTCCTTATAAAAAACAGTATAAAAATAGAATAACTTTTTACTTAAAAAAAAATAAGAATATTTTTCGATAACAACCAAAAACAGAAAAGCGGCCATAAATTTGAACCTGGGAGTATAATTTAATCAAAAACTATTATACCAACGTTGTCTCACCTTATACCTCAAATAATCAACAGCCTGAAATAGTATTATACCAACGTCCCTCACCTCAACAGACTGAAAATGGCCTTGCAACCAACTACCCCAATTATTTCTTTTTTATATTATAAAAAATAAAAAATAAAAACAAAAATCGTTGTCCGAATTTAGATATGGCAAATGAGTAAAAGGATGTGATCTATCCACCAATGCATCAATGAATCAAATCATATATACTCAACAAAAGCTAAAAAGTTCAATCCTTCAAACTAAAGCAAACCCCCACATATCCCTTCTTCCTCACTCAAAGTTATGTCGTACGTTCTTTTCATCCTTTACCAACAGCCTCTCCAATGCAAGAACCCTTTGTCTACAATTTTATTGCATCCTTAATTATTCAAGACAGGGGAAAGAATGGTAGTATCGCGGGACTCGAATGGCACACTGCTTCGACCATCCACACACTCTCGGCTTAAACCCATTTTTCATCGCAAATATTGTCAGGAGGGAAACGGAGGGAGAATGAAACTCACCAAGAGGAAACTCGTGCCGGTTCTTGCTTTCATCTTATGCACGGCGTCCGCGTTTAGGTTTCTCAATATTAGTATGGTCACGACTTCATCTTCGCGCCTTCCTTGGATTGTTTTACGTGAATGTTCTTCCACGTCGCCGCTTTGCATTAAAAACATCTCTCGGCCGCATGAAAATAAAAAAGAAGTGAAAGCTCCGTGTCGAGGTAGCATTATGTCGAAGAACGAAAGAATTTTAACTAGGAAGGAAATTCAGTTTCTTTTCGACTTTATCTCCACCCGACTTCCTTGCAATCTTCTTATTTTTGGAAGCGAACGTGAGTATTCGAGTATAGCGCACTTAAACGCCGGTGGTGTTACTATTTTTCTCGATGAGAATCATCATGTTGGGAACAAGACTGTGCTCGCCATCAATGCACGTGTTTTTAGAGTCACCTACAATACGGTGGCCTCGGAAGCTTACCAATTGCTTAAAGTTGCGAGGGAAAACCTCGATTGTGTGCCCAAGATTCGCCTTCCCAAATGCATATTGGGATTGTCGAACCTCCCGGAGAAAGTGTACGATACTAAGTGGGATGTGGTTGTGGTTGACGGGCCGAGAGGGGACACTCCCGACTCCCCGGGTAGAATGGCGTCGATCTACACGGCGGGCGTGATGGCAAGAAGAGGAAACACGACGGATGTTTTCGTACACGACGCCGATCGAATGGTCGAAAAGTGGTTCTCGAGGGAGTTTCTCTGTGAGGAGAATTTGGTCTCTTCCAAGGGAAGGTTTCAGCATTTTCGAATACAAGGAGCACCAAATGCTACCAAGTTTTGCACATCATAGAGGTTAGGGGTTGAATTGGGGAGTTCACTTCTACATAACACATTTTGTTTTATTTTTGTGAATAGATGGTATTTTTCAGGCCTATTCAATGTTTGATAATATAGCGACGTTGTAATTGTAGAGCAACTTTATAGTCACTTTTCTGATTATTTTTATTATTATTTTCTCAATTTTCATTATAATAAGACTTATTAATTTTATTAATAATTACAAACGCACATGTTACAATTTTTAAGAATTCATTAGCTCTGATCGAATCCCCTATTTCATTAGCACACCCTATTCCCTATTTTCATACACACAGGGGATAGAGGGATAAGGTTTGTTTTTGGGACAACAACATTCCATGAGTCATTAGCTCTAATTTATGGAACATGGTGATGATTTAACAACATTAGCAAATTTTTATTAAAAAAATAGCAAATATTGATATAACATATGTATCACATATTTGAATAGTATATTATATAATTATACCTAGCAAAATATATCTTAGATTTCAGCAAACTATATTATGACACTAGAGAAAAAATAGTATATTTGTAACGGAATTTCGTTCCTATAGTTCACATAGCTAACGTAATTCCATCTCTAATTCCGTCTCTAATATAATTACTAACGGAAAAAGTGAATTTAGGAACGAAAAAATCTCGTTACAAAATTGATAATTTCTTGTAGTGTGATTTATGTACAATAGTAATTTGATCCAATCAACAAATGTCCATAACTCCTGTTGGGGACTCCCGTTTGCGGGATATGTAACTAATGGCTTAGTTTCCTTAACAAGTTCGAGCTTTTAGGTGAGATGGTCATTAGCTTCCGACATGGTATCAGAGCCTAGGTTAGGTCTCGAGTTCGAGTCCCGCCCGTCCCTATTTGTGGCATATGCATGTGCAAGTTTCGCAGACCCACTTGCACCTGAGGGGGCGTGTTGGGGACTCCCGTTTGCGGGATATGTAACTAATGGCTTAGTTTCCTTAACAAGTTCGAGCTTTTAGGTGAGACGGTCATTAGCTTCCGACATGGTATCAGAGCCTAGGTTAGGTCTCGAGTTCGAGTCTTTGCTGCTCTGCATAGCAATCCAAAAAAAAATTAAATTTTTTTATTGACTACAATAATACCACTGACCAATGCAGGTGGTCATAAAAACCAAATGAATTGTATCATGAATTTTAAATAAAATTAAATATAAATATAAAAAAATGTCAATATAGGTGTAACTTTATAGAAGATAGAATTTTCTTTAAAACAAAAATATTAAATTATTATTTCAAAATATAATTTTAAAAAAAAAAATTATGTTAGTTGACGTTGCTCCTTCTCTATCAAAATCCCCCCTCATTTTCCGTTAACTTCGTACAGTCGGAAATATATCGGCTCGTAGGTATGACGGGTTCCTCCGAATTTCGGCCTATCAATTTTTAACCCGTACCGTCCGAAATTGGCCAGTAGGGATGAAGGCACTACATAAAATTACTATTTTACTACGAATTAATTTCACAGTAAAAACTTATTCTTTAATTATAAAATTAATTTCGTAACCAAAAATAAATTATTATCTATGTCTTATAATTTCATAGCCATTTGTGACTTAATGACAATGAATTAAAAATATTATAAATTTTAATAGAAATCCGCAGCCGCTACTCTCGCATTTTGAACTCATGACCTCATAGTCACGAGTTCATCCTCATGCCACCAGGCCATTTCTTGCGGGACTTAATAGAAGCCTTTTGATTTTATGGTTTATTCACACAATATTTTTTGATCGTATAATTCTCTATTGTATATTATATAAAAAAAATACAATATAGATAATATATATACTTTTTTGCATTCGAAAAAAATTAGTAATTCAACACAATATTATTTTTATATTACCAATATAAATTTTCATACCTAACATAAAAACATTCATAAAAAATATAGAATAAACAAACTCTATATATACTTATCAATATTGATTTATAGGTTTTCTTTTATCGTCATTTATCACATGTTATATTCAATAGATTAAATTAACTAATATGATCAACTTAACCAAAATAAACTACATTTACTAATACTCTTTTGTTATTCAAATTTGTTCTAATTTTCTTTGTATTTTACAAAGGGAATGAGAATAACGGAGGTAGTAATAAAAGCAAAAACACAAAGACAAAATATTTTAAAGTTAAATTTTCTTTAAAAATATATTATTAAATATATAATTTTTTAACAAACTTAATTCAAACTTCACTTGCAGTTGTCACCTTTCGTCCACCATTCATCATGTCCTTATCTTTCGTCAACTTAACTTCACCTGCAGCCGTTAGCATTTTCCTTTTCGTCGCAGCCGTAGAATTCTCATTTATTCTCGTCCTTATATTTGCAGCAATCATAAATTTTTCGCTTATCCTTGTTCTCGTCTCTGCTATAGTTGTAGTCTTTTTGCTCGTCCTTATTCTCATGACCTCCTCTTCGTTTATTTTGTATTTGTTGCCAACTTATGCTTTCCCTTGTTACTATAGAATGAAAGGTTCTGCAATCAGTTGTTCCTATTAAAGATGAAGAGGTGGTGGTTGGACAATACAATTGTTATAAGAACGATCCAATGGTTCCAAACCAGTAGAATACTTTTTTGCAACTCTAATTCTATGCATATACAATGAAAGATAATAAGGTAGATAATACATTAGTTTGCTTCGATTCAAATATGTTATGTTCTCAATAACCGTGAACCATTCATTGTAGGCGTGTCTTTCATACTCAAGGCAGGAAAAGCTTGGAATTCAAGAAAAGCAAGGGAGAGATAATTTTTTGATTCAGTTGCAACGTTCAGAAGCCATATACATGAATCATACAATGAAATTTATTAGTGTCATTCTTGAAGCTAGCTCATATGCTATTTCCTTTTATTCGAGCTAGCATGATTTGTCTGGTTGAATTCAATTGTGTTTCTCTTCATTTCTTGTTGAGTTTGTGGAGTTCCCTCCCGTGCAGGTCAAAAATTCTAGACTGAAAATGTCCACTGTCTAAAGTGAGCTAGGCTTTCCTTCCATAAAACACTACAATAGTGTTATTTTTCCTGAGGCTTACGAACGACTTATTCTTGACACGTACATCTGCTATTTATCTTTATCTTTGTGTTATGTGGTTTTGTTTATATCTTTTTGTTTTTTTTTGGTTTCCTGATTCTTTCGAAGATATAAAATTTGGATTATTCTTTTAGTTATTTTTGTAGTTTTAATTAGTAATTCTATTTTTGTTGTTTACGTTCTAATACAATAATCCTAACTAATATTATTTTGCTACAAAATCATTTTTTTTGTACCTAACACCTTTTGCTATGAAAGTAAAATTTTTGTAGCTAAAATATTTTTGTTATGAAATTTTTTTGTTGTAGCTAAAATCATTTTGGTATGAAAATTATATTTTTTTGGTTATAAGCTTTTTGCTATCAAATTCAGTTTCGTAGTTAATACTTTTTTGCTACAAAATCCTATTTTTATAGCTAAAAGGCTTTCTTTAGCTATGAAATTTTATTTTTGTAGATAAATCTCATTTGCATATTTTCATCACAAAAAGCATACCTTCCTTTATGGAAGTGAAATTCGTCTCCAAAAACCTTTAGCTATACGGTATAGGCGACGAAGGTCATTTCGTCGCGAAAGCATTTCTGCTACAAAAATATACATTTTGCTACATTTTTTTTTTGTAGCTAATTCTAAAACTCTTGTAGTGAGGGTTGCTCTGCACTTCAGTCCATCACTTTCAAACCCCTATCGTCCGAAATTAGTACGTACGGCTGAAGGGCCCTCTGAATTTCAGCATCCCAAGAAGGAGAATGAGTGGTTTAGGCATAATGCAAAATTCACTCAAAGATAGAATTCTCGGACTTCATAGTACGATCATTACCATGTACTAAACATACACTAATTCCTTGAATAGGTCAATTTCTTCATCTTTTTCTTTCTTTGAATCGTACGAATAGATTCATAATTATCATTGACAAAATTGTCACCCACACCGTTCCTTTGCTCCGGTTCTAAATGAAGAGGATAATAGTGTCCGCCTTGTATTTCTATCATAGTGGAGAAATTGTGTATCAGCCGTTCAATCATCAGATTCTTGTCATCCTGAAGTAGATAGAGTACCCAACGGGGTAACTTGGTGTATTAGGGTTCTTAGAGGTTACTATATGAACTTCATTTTACCTTTCTGAATTTGTGGTTGGCATACTTTCTTTACTTAATTCCCTTGGCCATTGCGGATGTCAATTAAGCATTATTTTAAAGTTTGAGTAATTTCGCTCAACTCAAAAGCATTCAAACTCACCTTCTGCACCTTCATTTCCATCAAAATCATTATTTTTTTAACATGGTTTAAAATTGGCCTTTCATTTTAAGCACCCAAAGTATGCTACATCAGTGTTCAGGCGCACCAACTACCCCAATTTTTATCTCTATAACACCATGATCCGCGGTTCAAACCAATGATCCTTTTTTTAGGACATAGTCAACTCAACAGTAGTATGATATTGTTCACTTTAAGCTAAATCCATAAAAATCTATTATTGGATTTCTTCCAAAATGCCTCATACTAATGGAGTTCATATAGACGTATAAAGTGTAAATTTCCTTCAAATCTTCTAATGTGAGACTTGAGTTTGCACCCCAACAATTCTCTCTAACCAAGGACCATATAACTCATAGGCATTTCTTCCATTGATATTCCATTGATCTTCCATTGATCTGTATGTCATGCACCACATTTGACAAATGGCTTCGTTGCCTGACTACACCTTTCGGGATGCCAACTGACCATCATAACTCCAGAAAGACTTTTGACACAAGACACCACCACATATTCCAATCAGAAGGTCAACAAGGGTTTCCCACAACTACATCCAATGCCCAATGCAACTATTCAGTCCACTCCAAAAAAAAAACTTCGTTGAACCAAACTCTGCTATCAGTTGTTGTGGAAATCGGAAAATAAAAAAAAAAGTATAGATGAATATAAGACTTTGGTGACTTAATTCGATCAGAATGATCTACGTCTGGAGACGGCCAAGCTAAGTACTTGCACTAGTAATTTCAAGGTGCAAGTTACAAAGAGAATGAATCAAGTATATATAAGAATTGTAGGCCAAATCATAGCATCCGGCACAAAATAATCCCAACAATAGAACTTGAGCTTC